TGTTTTACATGGACACCAAAAGAATTAGATTTTAATGAGAAAAATTTTCAAGAAAGACAAATATTAACAATAACTCGTGTCAAAGATGGACCAGAAACAACTCTTATTCCAATTTTCAATGGTGAAGGTTTTGATCTAGTTCCATTTGACATTTATCCTATTTTTATTCAATAAATTTCTTTCTTTTTATGTTTGATCCTAAAGAAGAATTCTTTTCTATAAATGTTCATCACGACTTGCCCCGTAATTGTAATAACTCGGCTGTTATCCTAAAGAAGTCCCACATCTGTATAATCTAGTGAATGATAAATCCGATTTGAGAATGTGCTTCGCACCACAGGTTTATCATATGTGCTGTCTAGTGTTAATCATTATTTGTTGTCTATATTTAAATTAGATCCTATTAATTAACAAACGGAAAGTAAAAAGAAGATCATCATCTTTTTCTTTATTTTATTTCTTTTCATTCAACAAAGAAAAAACAAAATGATTAGTATTTGCTGTTGTTGTCTTCTTTTTTTTCTTTATTTTGTTTTTTGATTATGATAATTTGATCACATTAAAATTGATGATCGTTCTTCTCTGATAATTGAACTAGATTTGATATTATTTCTTTTTAGCTTCAGTAGTTGTTTTCGGTGCTTGTTCAACTGGTACTTCTTTAACGAATGGAATTTTTTCTGAATATTCTAAAAATTCAAAAAACAAAATTTCAATGATAAATTAAATCAAAAAAGAACAAACTTTTAGGCATAAGTGGTTTGAGCACTTCTGGTACGAGAATACCATCATCAGTTTGATAATTTTCAAGAATAGCACAAATAGTTCGTGTTGTTGCACACATTGTTGCATTTAACATATGAACATATTCAGACTACAACAAGTGAAAAATAATAGCATATGACTTATTATTAAAACATACAGATTCATTGAGTTTTTTCGTTTGACCATAACGAATTTTCAATCGTCTTGATTGATATTCAAGACAATTTGAACAAGAAACAAGTTCACGAAATTTACCCGAACCAGGAAACCATGCTTCTAAATCGAATTTTTTTGCTGCTGCATTGTTTAATTCACCTATAGTCATAATAAGAATATTATTTTTTTCTTCTCTTTTTTTTTCTTGTTTACTAACCCGAAACAATATTAACAATACGATATGGAATACCCAATTTTTTATTAAATTCTTCTGCATTTCCAATCAGTTCGTCAAACATTTTCCAGGATTCATTATCATGTGGAGAAGTAATACAAAATTGTTCAATCTAAATATATATTTGAAAAGAACAAGTAACATAAATAGTAAAAAAAAAAAAAGAAACAAATAAACCTTTTCAAATTGATGAACACGAAATATACCACGTGTATCACGACCATGAGAACCAGCTTCTTGTCGAAAACATGTAGAAATACCACCATAACGAATTGGTAATCGTTCAGATGCAAGCCATTCATCACTAAACAAAATAAGTCAAAGTTTCTTGAAAGAATCATGCAACACTAGAGAATAAAGAAACCAAAAAAAACTACTAACCGATGAAAAGCAGCAATACATTGTTCAGATGTTGCAATTAAATATTTTTCTTCATCACTTGATTCATCAGGTTTATCATTTTTACATACAACCTAATTCAAACATGTCTTAGATAGGAAAAAAAATATTTTTTTTCTGTTTTAATCTTATACTTTATAAAGTTCTTCATCAAATTGACTTAATTGAGCAACTTCTTGCATAACTTCTTTTCGCATAAAAAATGGTGTATAAAGTATTTCAAAATTTTTTTCACTTAATATATTCAAAGCTAATTGAATAATTGCTTGTTCAAGAAATACAGCAGGACCCTGAATTAACAAATGAATCAAGAATATTAAGAAAAAAAAAATTGTTTTTTTTTTTTCTTTTCATTAACCTTCATAAAATAACCACGAGAACCAGCTACTAATGCTCCTCGTTCACCATCATAACCATCAATCATATACATTAAGTCAAAATGTGAATATTTCTTTCGTGTTTCAACATCACCAAATGTTCGTTCTGTTATGTTATTATCCTAAATTTTGAATATTCTATTAAAATTTAATAAAAATAAAATTCAAGAGTGTTTTTTTTGGTCTTATTTTCATACTTCATTATCGCTAACAGGTACAGAATGATGAACAATATTACCGATTTCATATAAAGCGGTATTTCGATCATTTTCAATTTTAATTAATTTTTCTTTTGTTTTTTCAATTTCTATATCAATTAATGAACTAACATGTATCAATTGTTTAATTGTTAATGTTGATAGTAAATCCGCATTTAATGTTTCAAGATTAATTTGAAAACTTTTTGGAAGTATTTCAGTATCACCTTCATTTTCTTTTGCTTTTTTTTTATTACCAACTGCACGTCCACAAAGATTTTTCATTTTATTCCATTGATCAGCTTGATAACGAACTGTACGCCATTGTGTATCATATTGAATAATATCATCAACAAGTTCAACTCGTTTATAACGTTTCTTTTGAGAATCACGAATTATTTGTGGATCATAACCTTTTTCTGATCGAAATAAATCGATATCAAGTACCATTATTCTTGGAACGATATAGATGATCAATTATCTAATAGAGAAAAACACAAAAAAAAATCAATAAATGAGATATTATTCTTTAGCAATATGTCATCAATATGAGAAGAAAAACTCCAATCTATAATCCTTAATTTATTTAATGGATGGCAATCATTACCTATTTGTTTTTATTGAGCTATTTTGTCTAATAATCAAATTCTACTATCTAGATGTCGTTACTGATTGACATAAGGATAATTCGTGCTCATGAGTCTCTACAAATAAGTTCAACCAAAAGTTTTATTCCTAGATGGATTTGATGACTCTAGGAATATTTTGAAAGTTTCAGTCGAAAAGAATATTCTTTTATCGAGATATTGAATTTTCAAAGTGTAGTCGTTGGTTACAAACGTTCAGCTGACTTGCAGACTCAATATTTCGACAAAAGACTATTTTTTTTGGCTGAAAATTTTAGGATATTCTCAGTGTCATCAGATCTATTTATGGTTAAAAGTTCAAATCGAAAATTCAATAAAACGGTCATAAGTAGACTACAGAGATCTATGGATACGAAACCTTGTAGAATTTTGTTTTAGTTTTACCGAGATCCCGTTGTGAGTTCAATCTAAGTTCGAACGATGGTTATCAGTTTGAATATTTCTCTCATAATATTTTATCCATATACCCTGTCAGCTGACCAAGATGACATAAACCAAATGGCCAAGTATCTGAAAAGAACTAGGATGTTACGAAGTGCATGTTGACATGTCTTACATTCTCAATGATATTTTAATCTAGTGAAGCATTAACACATAGAAATTATATTGCAGTGATCCTTTCACATATGCTATTTGAGAGTAAACAGCCCATGGGTGAAAGTTCTATCTATTAACAAGACAACGCCATGCCATATACATATCAGAAATTATTGGCATGATATGAATGAAATTTAATGCCTTTTGTAAATAATTACAGATGGCCAACAAAGAGACTTGATCTTAATGTTTCGAAGTATTATCTTTAAAAAAGAAAAGAGAGGGTTCTTTAGCTGTAGAAAGTTGTTACTAGTTTATCATGATAACATATACTGTAAAGAAAATGGTTCGATTAACTGTTATCAATGTATAATATAACAATGAATCTCAGTGGGGTCCAAACTAACCCCATGTAGTTAACAAGTGTTCTCGTGTACTCCGAGATGGTCTACTTATATAAATAATAGTTAGGCATAATAAGTACATGTTATCAACATATTCTACTAGTCTTCAGTAGAGCATATCTGAATGAGTGTCAAAGTAATTGGAAGAAATAACAAAATAAATTCCTCTCGTATCAAAAATTGATCTTATTCGCAAAACTGAAAATTGATCACATAGAATTGTATCGATTTTGAAAACAATGATTGCATAAATAATATAAGATTTTTTTTATTTTTACATAGAATGTACTCAACAAAAATAAGAAAAAGAAATTTTATACATTGATCATTAAGCAATTTCATATTGAATTCATTGAGAGTTATATAACAAATAAACAAACTTCATAATAGATTTATTGTTCTTTAATCTAGAACCATTTTAACAAAATAGTTCAAAAACTTTCCAATTTATTTTTAATTATCAATAAAAAAAAACCTTTTCAGCATATATTTTTATCTAATATCGTCAATCAACCCTAGATCATTTTCCTGGATAAAAAAAATTACTTTATCTTATGCAGTTATCTACTTTGTTCAGGGAAAAGAACTATGGATCATCTCTGCTATCCATTTGATATATGACAACAATGACCTTGTCCAATATTTATATTAATACCCATCGGTCGATTGATCTAATATCATAATATAAATCAATATATAAAATAGGAAAGATACATAAGATCATAGCAAGAATAACAATAGAATTCATTATGGTAGGTATCAATAGTCAACAGTAATAAAAAAACGAAAGGGAATAACAGAATTTATTCATGTATATATAATTGTCATATGACCTATTGTGTACATTTATTGTCGTTTTTATGATAGTTCTACATATGCATTACATCAGTACGATAACAATAAATATCGTGAGCAACCACAGGAAAAAAAAGGCTGAGTTATTTTGGGGAATAGAAAGAAAGAAAAAAGAATAATAACAAGAACTACTATGGGGTAAATATTACCATCAATATAGTTCCATATACTACTTTACAGAGAGCGGGAGAAAAAAATATCAGAACGAGAAGTGTGAAAGGCCATAAAGCCGCGTCCGTGAGATAAAAAAAAACGACGGTATAAGGAAAAGAAAGATCGGCATAACATCTTTCTTTGTGCTTCGTCTTATTCTGTTACGTATCGTTTCCTCATTGTTGTCTGCGCTTCAGATAACGGCAGAAATCATGTCGGGTGGTCCAACAGCAAATCGTCCATTGACGAAAACTTATTGTGAAACATGTCGAAAACTTTTTACACCACGAGATGCTATGCAAATATATCAGGATAGATACTATCATCCACATTGTTTTTGTTGTTCACAATGTGGTGGTTCATTAGCTGGAAAACCATTTTATCCTAAACCAAATAATCAATTTCAATGTGAACGATGTAATAATGCACTGGCTCCTAAGTAAAAAAAGAAAATTTTAATTTAAATTACAAATTATTTATTTTTGTACGACAACAAAAATTTTCATTCTAGTTGCTGTATGTGTAATCAAAAGATACCATCGGGTACGACAGCTAAACGATTTAAAGATCGTCATTATCATAGTGATTGTTTTCGGTAAAAGAAGATTTTCTTTTAATGATTAATTTATTTCTTTTTTTTTTGTTTCAGTTGTTGCAAATGTACTGCAATTATACCTGATGGTAATTATTTAATTATATTCATTTCTAATGTTATTTTTTATTAAAAAAAAATAATAATAATATAATCTAGGTCATAATTTCGTCGATATGTTAGATGGACGATATGAATGTTTAACATGTTCAAAACATATAACTGGTATTTATCAAGGCAAAGAACATGCACCAAATTTAGAAAATACATATGGTGAAATAACTTTTGTACAATGCGATCAAGCAGGTCGTGTACCAATATGTGACAAATGTACACGACCTGTAACATATCAAGAAGAAGTATTTAAACATGATACACGTTATTATCATCTTGATTGTGCTCGTTGTAATCGATGTCGTAAGAAACTTTTTAAAATACCATGTAGAAAACTTGGTTCTGCATTGGGTAAGTTAAAGAAAATAGTAAGAAAAAAAAACAACTGTTTTAATAATATCTTTTAGTTTGTCATACATGCTCATAAGTCAATATTTTAATGTTTGATCACTAAAACACAAAGTACCTATCTACTGATAACCTACCCAGATCTTACACGTCCTTGTCCATATTATGTATCATTCACTTTTTTTTAAAATTTTTTATTCAAAAATAAACCGAAGAAAAATTAAATGAGGAAAAATGAAAATTTAAATAACTGTAATTGATCTATGTGTACTAGCCGATGTTATTACAACGTTCGTACGAAGAGGTAATAAAATAGGTTTATTATTTGTTTCATTACTCGCACGATGTATACGTCTTTTAACGCTATGTTTCATCATTTCTTTACTAATTTCAACTTGTCTAAGCCATGATTTTCCTTTAAAATAACCAGCTTCTTGTAAACAATGAATAGCTGTTGATCGTGTTGTTGCACTAGCATAACGTTCATAAGATTGAACAGTAGCTTGATGAATTTCTAAATCACGACGAGATTTTAATACATTTGAACGTCGTGTTATTGAACGTTCAGGTAAAGGAATATATGTATCAATATCAATTGGTTTACGTTCACTAGAGTATGAAACTGACAATGGTTTTATTGATTCTTTTAATTGATGTTGTGATTGTTTTTCTATAGATTGTTCAATTTGTGTAAATAATTGTTTTCGTTTAGCTGTTTTATGTTGTTCAGTTTCTAAAGCAATACGTGATGATGATAATACATAAGCATCAACAGATGGCATTATTGTTTGAAAATTTTTTTTATTAGCATTAACAACTGTTTCTAATTTACTTGTTACTGATGAATGACATCTATGTGCATTCAGTGTGGGAGAAACAAGAATAGGCAAAGCATATGTTTCTTCATCATCAATAGTAGAAGATGGTGATGATTCTATTGAAGATGATAAGGATTCATCTGATGGTTTTATTAAATGATTCAGTTTTTCATTAAATATATGATTATCTAAAATTAAAGATGACTTCTTTTTTTTTTAATGAGAAACTAATAGAAATTTTACCTTCTAGCTGTTTAACTAAAATTGATGGTGTTGTATTTGTACTTGATGATTTTTCATTTTCTAATATTATTTTAGATGGTTTTAAATTTTTATTAGTTTTAATTAATTTGTTTTGTTTATTGGAAAATTCAAATGATGATGGAATAGGTTTTGAAATTTTTTTCGAAGATTTATTTTGATTTGATTTTGTTTGAGGTAATACTAATAATGGTGGACGACGTGATTGTTGAAGATTTTCGGCAGCTATTTGTTTAGCACGTTTTCGTTCATCTAATGCAAAATGTTTAATAAACATTTTCATTTTATTTATTTTTTCTTGTTCTTCTTCATTTAAAACATTATAATGATCATCTTGATCTGTTTTTATTGTACCACTAGATCGTACGTTTCGAAGTTGTTCTAATGGTACTTCAAATGCATTATTAAAACCATCAATTAAAACTTTATAACCAAGTAAACCTTGTTTTGGATAGATACGTTTTCCTTGTGATGTATTATACAAACGTCCGCCATATTTTTTCCAAACTTTTTCACGGGCACGTTCGTACCAACTGCAAAAAAAACAAAGAAAAAGAAAATGATTTCAATTTCTAATAATAAAATTAATAGTTTCTATTATTTACTTTATAATTTTACAATAGAATGGTAATGAAACATAAACATAATTTGATGATATACGATGAAGTGCATTAGTACTAATTGTTGATGTAAGTAAATCAGAAACATATTCGCCTGTAGCATTTAATGGTACTCGAAGATTAAATTGTTTATCATGTAAATAAAAATAAATAACTCGATAACGTTGTTCATCTTCTTTACTTTTTGATAATAATGAACACGATAATGCTAGTTTATAAGGTAAAAAATTTGTTATAGGATCTCGAATTTGTGTACATATAATCGATTGTCGTACAAATAGATCAACTATTTTAACATGTCCTTGTTCGACAGCTATATGAATAGGACATTTGAGCATTTCAGGTAAACTTTTACTTGTTAATTCTGATGACCATTGACGAGATGGATGTTCACCAACAGGATGATCACTACGAGCACCTTGTTGCATTGCAAAACTCGCTAATTCCATATGACCTTCAATTAACACATTTGTTAAGAGTAATTAAAAAAAAGAAAAAAACTTACCATAAAATGCTGCAATATATAAAGCAACTTGTGTTTGATAATGTCGTGTAAGATCATCATGAGCATATGGTTCAGTAAAACCTTTAACACAAGAATTAATAAATTTTTCATATCCTCGCCATACTTTTAAATAAATATGATCATGAATTTTAATATCATAATTTATTAATTTCATTTCATCATATAAACGTTGTTTAGTATCATATGTTTCAAGACAAAATATACTTAATGGTAAACCTAATTTATCAGAAAGTTTTTTTCGTATTGTATCAATTGTTGTTTCAATTGTTATTGATGAATCATATAATTTTAATATTTGTCTATTAAAACTACATAATACATAAAGATCGGCTGCTTTTTGTTCTCGATATAAACAACGTATAATTGATCCAGATGGAATACTTAAATCAACTAATGACCATTTTGGTTTAAGGTCAGAACCATTATAATTAAGTACAATGGATGTTTCAGATGGACCACTATCTTCAGTATTAAGACCAAATTCTTGTTTAACTAATGTAAGAACATCTTCAACAAGAACATTTTCATTAACATCAATTAATCGTATGGATTGTTTTGGTGGATAATAAATAAAATAGCGCATATTTTTATTAGTAATTGATATATTCTATTAATATAAAATTATATTAATAAAAATAATCGAAAATAATTTTTACACAATTATTTAATATTTTTTTATATATTTTTCTATCGATATCTCATTCCTTTCCTTGCCCTTCTCCCACTGAGATATTAATCGAAATGAGAAAAAGAAACTATTGCGCAGCAGGTAGCTTTTTTTATATCTTACACGTTAATTGCAATGACCGAGAATGTTCTCAAAACAGTCTATTACAGATGTTGTTGATAATATTTTCACATGTTGACCAACGATATTCAAGCATTGTCTTCTTAGTTGCTATTTTCAATAATTGAAGTGTGTGTTGATGAGAGAAGGAACAAATAAAAAGAAAGTAACGAAGAGACGTCAATAATAGAAGTCGTCGTAAGCGCATGCATGATATAATTATTTGAGCTTCAAATATATACCGTAAAGAGAAGCCTTTTAGTGTTAATAGAAAAACGATGAGAAGAAGCAACGAATGACTGATGAAAAAAATTGACAAAAAAAAAAAAAAAAGAAATTGTTAATTGATTTAAAAGGCAGTCGGCTTTTTTTCTATGTTGATTGTTGGGTCACATGAGAGGATGCAATGCAAGCATGAAATTTAAGAAATATACTAAGAAAAGAGGTAACCATGATTACTATTGTCAGTGGAATATAATGAAAGAAAACAATGAATATAAAATTAATTTAAGTATATTTTTTTCTAAGAGTTCTATATATTCATCTATTTTAATGTTTGATTTTTAATGCGTAGAAAATGAAAATTTTCAATTTCGATAAATAAGAAAGTTATAGTGTTCGTTTCCTTTCAAATAATTATTCTATTGAAACAATAATACTTTATTTATATGCACTTTTATACTGAAAAATGAAATTCAAAGATAAAAAGCCATAAATCAAATGCGAATTTCAATATCGTATTAACAGAAATAGCTTATATACTCACCGTATCGGAGACATCATTGCTTTGGCTCTGCATAAGGCTTTTAAGTGAATAAAATAAAACAAAACACGTCAAACTGATTTTAATTTATATTGTGCTTTCTTCAACGAAGGAATATTTTATGATTTTAATCGAGTTTTATATTACATTTCCATTTTATATTATGATATTTATTTTCTACATGCATAAGAGACACAATAGTTCTTCTCTTTCTTACGGACATAATTCAACATGTCAGCAAATATAGTTCATGAAAAATAAACATTCTTGTCAACCGTCGTTTCATATAAATTTAAATTTTGTTTGCTCTGAAGAATTCATAAAAAGAAAGAAATGTGGCTGTTTTTTTTAATAGAGACAATCATTGTCACCGTTAAACATAAGGTTATATACATACACGTGTGTAGTAATGGCAGTCACTTAAGAGGATTAACTTGATGTTGACTTCTTAATAAAATGAAATGATAGAAGAAAAAAAAAATGCAAATATGACTGTTTAAATAAATGGATTAGTAAAAAATGTCATCTATAAACATAATATGAATGTAACGACTAAAAAAACGTAACTTTTTAAAATAAATTCTATTTAATTCGGTTTAAATTAAAATTAAAAAATATACTATGTAATTTTACATACTATTCATTTGTTCCTGATGTTTCTTCTTGGCAATGACTGCTGTTTATTAATTATACTAGAATCTATGTACTTGTATGTATCAAAGTATATTTGTAACGATACAAAATCAAATATAAGTTCGCTACCATTAGAAAGTGCTTGAAAATGAATATCATTGTTCGATAGTGAACGTTTTATGATAGATGTTAAGTTTGCTGCACATAAAAGAAAGCTCATCGAAATTTGACATATTTAGGACATACGAAAAGTAGTGATAGAAGTACGTTAATTTCTTTGAAAAAGCTTAAAGAAGCTTTCTCTCTATATGTACTGATAGTAAAACCAACACTTTACTTTTTGCACTCTTATATCATCCTTCATCTAATATTATAATAGTAATATTTCAATAAGAGTTGTTTGCTTATGATGTATGACGAATACATTAGTTCATATTGTGTTTGGTATGCCTTTTCTTCTTGATTTTATTTTTGTTTTTCTTCTTTCTTTTCTTAATTCCTTGTTCTAGTCACACTTTGTCTGCCTAAAAGTCTAAGTATATATATATGGGCGTACTCAAGCATAGGATGCCCTGATGCTTATTTTTTTATGAGTCATGCCGCATGAGCCACACCTATGACTACTATGGAAGCTTCTCAATCAGTGATCGCCGACTCCATTGATTTTTATATATGTTATATCAGCAAATGTTTTATGAATTTTTGCGAAAGCTGTTTCATAAAATATTGTTTTCTTCTTGAGATATTTAAATTTCTCTGAGAGCACCCTTGTCAAAAAATGACATGTGTTGCGATTTTTGTGGCAGCGATTTCGCTTAAAAAGTTTACTTAAGATCCTCTAGACGATCTCGTATCTACACGTTACTGTTTAATGGATCAAGGTAGGATTAAATAGAAGAAAATGAGGTGACTATTTTGATAAATAAATAGTCAGTCTATATCTTTTCGTTATTTGTTTGTTGGTGGCCGTTATTATCATCCCCGTCTCTCGTACTCATTTTTAAAATGCATCTGTCGTATTGGCGAAGAATAAAATATTTGAAACATTCATGTTCTTCATTATCTCTGTTATCTCTCTTTCTCAATATACCTGGTATTAAAGAATGACAGCAAAAGACACATTTGTGTAATGTCATATTTTTTTTTCTAAAAGGAAAACTAGTCTATTTCAAATGGATGCTTTGTCAACAATCATATTTAACGAATGGTTTTGGTTGCCAGGAAATACAACTTGGAAAGATTTTGCTCGATTCGAACAAGATCAAAACATTAAATTAACGAATCCAAAAGATCTTCTCTATGCTTTTCCACTGACTGGTGTAATTTATGTAATACGAATGCTTTTCAAACGGTAACGAAAAAAATTATTTTGAATTACACATTATATTGAAAATTGTTTTTGCTTAGATATGTTGCTGAACCGATTGGTCGATCACTTGGCATTCGTGATAGGGTGACAAGAAAAACAATGAGTCACAAGAAAATTGCAATAACAAAGGTATCACGTCGTGGCGTACCAATAGATGTAAATCAAACATCCAAACAACAACAAGTAGACAGTGTGGATAGTAGCTCATCATTATCGAGAAGTCATCCTTCAAGTTTTAGTCAATTAGCTAAATTTAGTGAATCTTGTTGGCGTTTTATTTTTGGTCTAAGTTCATTCATATACGGTATTGCCATACTTCAAAATGTAAGTGTAGAGATCTAAGCAAATGTATGCATTGTTTGTATTTACAGAAATCGTGGACATGGGACACACGTTATTGTTGGTTGAATTATCCTAATCAACCTCTATCAGCAGATATCTTTTGGTACTATATGATTGTACTTGGTTTCTACGGAACACTTTTATCTTCTCCGTTTATCGATGCTAAACGGAAGGTATCAGTAGAAGAAATATTATTTTTGTAATGAAAAAATAATTTTGTGAATTTTTTTGTTGTTAGGACTTCAAGCAATTGTTTACACATCACATTGCTACTATCATGCTGCTCTCCTTTTCTTATATTGCGAATTTTGTGCGTATCGGCTCACTTGTACTTGTTATCCATGACTGTGCAGACTATTGGGTCGAGGTTTACATCTTACCAAACAAATATCGCTCTTGTGTTTCGTTCTAATCGTATCGAGTTTTTTTTTATTAGATCGCCAAAATGTCTGTCTATGCGCGAGCAAAACGTATTAGTGATGTTGCGTTCGTGATATTTGCCATCATCTGGTTTGTCACTCGTATCTGCTATTATCCGTATAAGTAAGAGAATTACATAATTAATTCACTCAATAATTTATACTCGCTTCTAGAATACTCTACACGACGACATTCGAAGGCATATCTATTTTGAGTTCATTTCCTGCCTATTATGTATTCAATGGACTACTATATCTTCTTTATGTTCTTCACAGTTTCTGGTTTTATCTCATCTGTAAAGTAGCTATCACTACTTTGAAGACCGGCGAGGTACGATCATTAATCTACTTCCGATTGTCAACTAAACTTGAGATTATGAGCAACTATACAAATCGTACAGTTAGAATAGGAGAGAGACAAAAGATTTTCATTCAGTTGCTTCAACTAGAATTTAAAGAAAATTGATATTGACGTTGTTTTTTTTGTTTTACTTTATTTCAGGTAAAAGATGTGCGAAGCGACAATGAAGATAGTGATGATAGTAACAAGGACAAGTGATCACACCTCTTCTTTCCAACAATTAACCCTACTCAGAGTGTTTTCTATGTTGTTGTAGTATTTAGTTGTTTGAAGAATGATTCGCCTTGTTTTTCTACGAACAAGGCCTGTTCGAATCCTCGTCACAAAATAAACAAAAAAGTGTTGTGAAATAACCAAAAGTGTGTATGTGGGTAGACTATGGAAAACATGCCAGACAAGGAGGTTCATTGTCGTCAAATTTATAGACGTGATTCCTGCTTGTTGCTATTCAAGTACTGTATTCAGCTTCATTAAACTGTGAATCATGCGTCAGTGCGTTTTGTTACTTTGATAAGATAGACTTAGACTCATTATGATATCGAATAAGAACTCAGTTTGAATGGTAGTATTTCAGTTTTTGAGAGAACAACTGGAGTGCACAACAGCGAGTAAGCAGCAGAACGGTTAATCGTACTGGTGAATGAAAAAGACGTCATTATCGATTGGAGCATTATTTTATTTCCTTGAAGAGCCAAAAGAATAAACAAACCTTACAGCTTTTCTCTAAAATATGCATCAACACTAATGATATCGTAAAGATGTACTCCGAATTTTCAGGCACTTCGGTTCTCATGAGGAAACACTCTGCTTGTTTGATTTCAAATTCTTCTAATTTTTGTCAACAAACAAGAAGAAGCTCGATGAAAGGTAAAGCATCCACTTAGCCAGTAAGGAAACGTACTCTCTCACACCTGATTGATTAATAATAGGCGTAGGAGTAGATCAGAAAACGATCTACACACACAAGTTATCCATACGTACACGAGGTATGGATACATGGGTAAAGAGAAAGTTCAGATTCGCATTCACACATCTGAGCACAATGCTCGATTGGAATAAAAACACTCATTGGTCTTATTGTAATGTTTTCCTGGCATTGCGATTCTTATTACTGGCAACATACTATAACGATGTCCGATAAAGTTTCATCGTTTCGGTAATTTTTCTGTAGACTTTTTGTGTCTCTCTTGACGTATGTGTCGATTCTACCAAGCAAGATGTTCGTTCTCTTTCAAACATGAAGGTTCACCAACATCGATGCAAATATTTCATTTAAATAAAGGAGAATTTTCTTATCGTCGACAGGCATGACATCAACAATAAATTGAATAAGATAATTTCGATAGTTTTCACAAAAGAATCCTGTTGATTTCACGGTAAATGATAGGGTCCTGCGGGAACGACTTTTTCCCGTGTTTTCCCGTCCCGTTTCCCGCGGGAATCGGGAACGGGAATTCCCGTGAGACCTTAGGAACGGGAATGCGGGAACGGGAATTCTGGTGGACACTCCGGGAACGGGAACACGGGAACGGGAATTGTATTAAAAATTTCTGTTCCCGGCAAACCCTATGTCCGATTTCTGTTTGCATTAAAATCTGTTAATCTTACAGTATTCGATTTCCAATAACTATTTGAAATATAATTGAAAAGAGAACAAGTATCAGTCAACAAAATCAGACAAGTTCATTCAAACATAGATTATGAGAATCACGATATTCTTTACCATCATCGTCGTCGGCATCGAAGTTGGGATCATCAAGATTACATATATGTCAAACTTGAAACTTGAATTCAATTGAAATTTCAAGTTTCAACTGAAATTTCAAGTTTCAAGTTTCAATAGGTTTATGAGCCTTGAATCAGAAATTTACTTTTAATATACGGAATCTTGTATTGTGAGAAACATGATGTCGCTAAAAGCTAGTATCAAGTAGCAGTAGTGTTGATGAATGTGAATAATGAAATCATTGTAGCTATTCTCAAAGCATTACGGGAACGGGAATACGGAACGGGAACGAAAATTTTGTTACGGGAACGGGAACACGGGATCGGGAACGAAAGTTTTTGTTACGGGAACGGGAACGCGGGAACGGGAACAAAAATTTTCAATACGGGAACGGGAACACGGGAACGGGAACCAAAAAAAGTTGTTCCCGCAGGTCTCTAGTAAATGATGCTGGAACTAGTATGAATTTTTTTCTTGATCCAGAGAGTTAGTCATCAGATAACTTGCCATCTTTTTACAGAGTATAGTAAAGCAGTGAAACCATCTCTGTTCTGAGAACGACGCAGCAGAGAGAGTAGGACGTATATGTGGATATTGATAGAGAGAAAGAACGTAACGCCTACTTCACTTGCATCCTTATCTACACCGACAGCTACTCACACCCCACGCCATTCAATCATATTTCGAAAGCATTATAAAATTCTTCCTAATTATCGTAAACAAAACGATGTAGCTAAACAATAAGAAGCACCAATAAAATAGATCAACACGAACAACATTCAGGAAAACTAGAAAAAGATTTTGTTGGACGTTTAGATGAAATAATCACAATTAGCAGCATCATATGTCGAAAATTCCTTTTATTTTACTTCTTAACGAACATTTTTATTGTAGATCTTCATAAGAACAAGACAGTTATTTAAAAACTGAACTTCGTCATTAAAAAGAACTAAAAAATGCTTTAGATGATCAACTAATTTTAATTCTACAGAATTCTGCCGGATACAATGAGAGTGTGTGCGCATGTGAATACAGAGGACGATGATTTAGAATAGTAGCGGACCTATAGCTTCATCTAGATGCGCATCCATATCTCTGCTCTTTAGCTATGCTCAAGAGGCGAAGAGAACAATGTAGATATGTTTTGCATTTTTTGAAATCAGAAAACCGGTTGTTTGAAGCGTTTGACCCATCTAAAATGCACAGCAAAGTCTTGATCAACACACATGCTTTCTTTTATTCTTTTTCGCTGAAAATTTATGTGCTTTCACTAGATTGACTTTCAAAACTCTTTTCGACTACGCAGAGGAAAGTTGATAAGAAAATGGAGAATGGTGCAAATGGCTGACTGTCGAGCGTTGTTTTTATTCCAGGTACAAAAAACCAACATGAAAACAACACTCCGGTGCGACGACGTTTCATGAACAAATTTTGATAAGAATCCAGTGACCTTGTAGACGCTTCTGTGAAAGAAAAACTGCGAACCACTTTTATGCTAGGGTATGGATATTAGTATGGATTCTGGTGACAAGGGAATCCAAACACCCACATCCACGCTCACACTCTTGTTTCGACGTTTTTCTTTATCCACGTGTGCTGATGCAAATAGGCATATAAATTACTGTTTGTTCGGTTTCATATAACTGGATGCAAATGGAAGAGTTATAAATGTCTGCAAGATAAGAAAGGAGAAAATTTTATTTGATACTCCTGGCTGTGCATCAATCTTTTTGAAGTCAATAAAGGCAAACTTGCAGGTGAGAGAAAAAATAAAAAAGAGGATAGTTTGAGTAAGAGAAAAACAACAAGATTATTATTTAGTTGTGCACACTGATATGTCGACGGCAACCTTCGGACCCTATAGTGAAAAGTTGCGTCAAGCAACTCAAAAGCGAAATGTAGCGAACAAGTATGTAGTTGAATGAATTATCATATTGCCTACATTGGTTTTCTAACACTCAGATGTTCGCAAAGTTCAAGAAAAAACGCGATTTCACTAGTCGGTCAGCGTGCGCCTGACTTTACCCTTTACAACACCTATCATCAACAAATATCTCTTCACGATTTGACCGCTCATTCCAACGTTGTTCTTCTCTTCTTTCCATTGGCTTTCACCAGTGTTTGTACGGCTGAACTATGCTCGGTTCGTGACAGTATGATCAAGTATACACGACTCAATTGTACTGTGGTCGGTATATCGGTGGATTCGATGTTCACATTGAATATATTTAAACAGGAACAACAGTTACCATTCGATCTGTTGTCTGATTTTAACAGAGAAGTGGCACGTGGATACGGTGCACTCTACGAACAATTTCCGCTGTATGGTATGAGAGGTGTTACAAAACGAGCAGCATTTGTTATTGATTGCCACGGTACAATTCAATATGCTGAAGTGCTTACAGATCCAGAACAGATGCCCAACTTTGCAGCAATAGAAGCGACTATAGCTAATCTGAAGCATATTCAAGTTTCTAACGATACTGATGGCACT